GCTGGGCCGCCTCAGGGAAAGCGACGGGCTGGCTTTTGGGGAAGGGGCCTTCGGGGAGGCCTCCGGGCTGGAGCTGCACATGCGCAAGGAGTAGTGCGGTATTTGTATTGAGTGTGGAAAGGGGTTATATAGGACCAACCAAGCATGCCAGGCCATGGGGAACCTTTGCCATACCAACTGCCTTACATGCTGCTCTGTGATACATGGCACCCACAGAGAGAGAGGACAGGGATGAGGAAGACAGGGAGCCTGCCCTCCCAACTATCGCCAGCTGCCCCAGCTGCCTCAGACTTCCTACACTACTTCCAGGCCCCGCAGGGGAGAAGAACCCCCCCTCCCAAACTACTACCGGCTCCAGCCACCTCGGACTCGCACTGAGCGCCTTCTCTGCGGATTTAAGAACTGTATTTTTTTAGCTGGTTTGTTGAGTGCATGAGTGTATGAATGTGAAAGAGAATGTGCCCACTTTTAATTTAATTATTGTATTATTGTATTTTAATGACTATTGTGGGATGTGTCTGAGAAGAGTGTTTGATTGGTGAGTATGATAGGACCGGGAGTGCGACCTGGAGCCCCCTCCACTGAGTGCAGAAGCAGAAATGGATGGGGGCCCAGACTCGCCTCCCGTCCTGGAGTGAATGGTGCCCGTGGCCTGCCAGGAAGAATGTGGGCCATGAGGGAGGGGGGGTCTACGGGGATGGGGGGAGGTTGGAGCATTTTGGTTACAACTGGGAGGGGCAGATATGATGGGAGCTGTAGGGCTAGCCATTACCGGGGAAGAAGGACTCGCTACATTACAGCGATTCCTTGTTCCAGCCCCTCAGGCTCAACTCAAGGACCTGGTGGCAGAGGAGATCAGGGCCCTGGTCTCAGGTTGTTGTTGCTAAATGCCAGGTCGGTCGTGAACAAAGCTCCCCTTGTCCGGGATTTAATATTGGGTGGGGGGGGGGGCAGACCTGGCATGTATAACTGAAACCTGGCTGGGCCAAGAGGGAGGAGTAATTCTCTCAGAAGTGTGCCCAGATGGATTCCAGGTGCTCCACCAACCACGACACCAGAGAAAGGGGTGGGGT